GTCACAGAGTGGTACATGTTGTAGAAAGCATGGGTAGATAATAGTTATTACCATTATTGAATGGTCTTGACAGTCAAACTGTTTGGTGGTCAACAGTGGTATATGTTGTAGAAAGCATGGGTAGATAATAGTTATTACCAGTATTGAATGGTCTTGACAGTCAAACTGTTTGGTGGTCAACAGTGGTATATGTTGTAGAAAGCATGGGTAGATAATAGTTATTACAACTATTGAATGGTCTAGACAGTCGAACTGTTTGGTAGTCACCAGTGGTATATGTTGTAGAAAGCATGGGTAGATAATAGTTATTACCATTATTGAATGGTCTTGACAGTCAAACTGTTTGGTGGTCAACAGTGGTATATGTTGTAGAAAGCATGGGTAGATAATAGTTATTACCAGTATTGAATGGTCTGGGCAGTCGAACTGTTTGGTGGTCACCAGTGGTATATGTTGTAGAAAGCATGGTTAGATAATAGTTATTACCATTATTGAATGGTCTTGACAGTCAAACTGTTTGGTGGTCAACAGTGGTATATGTTGTAGAAAGCATGGGTAGATAATAGTTATTACCAGTATTGAATGGTCTGGGCAGTCGAACTGTTTGGTGGTCACCACTGGTGTATGTTGTAGAAAGCATGGGTAGATAATAGTTATTACCAGTATTGAATGGTCTTGGCAGACAAACTGTTTGGTGGTCACCAGTGGTGCATGTTGTAGAAAGCATGGTTAGATAATAGTTATTACCATTATTGAATGGTCTTGACAGTCAAACTGTTTGGTGATCACCAGTGGTATATATTGTAGAAATCATGGTTGGATAATAGTTACCAGTTGTGAATCGTCTTGACAGACAAACGGTTTGGTAGTCGCCAGTGGTGTATGTTGTAGAAATCATGGTTGGATAATAGTTACCAGAATTCAATGGTCTAGTCAGTCAAACTATCATGTTTTTATAAATGGTATAACTCATTCCCAGGAAGTGAATGCACTCAATGGTCATTGGTCACCAGCATTGTATGTACCAAACATTTTAGTCTTCACCTGTGGAGAATAAGCTCGTCTCTCCAATTATCATCTCGTTGCCACTATCACTAATGGTTGTACCACGCGACAAGCGATAACATACGTGAATGTGAATAGCAAGGTAAGCTTGTTTTAGACAAGCTCTCATTCGACAGATTTGGAAGGATAACAGGATAACCCTAATTTCAAAAAACAAGTATGTGCTGTAAGAATGTTGAAATATGAATGGTGTTATAAAATACGAATCGTGTAGTAGCCATGATATAACCAATACAATGCGTAATGGTATTGAGATTCGTAAATAAAAAAAAACATATATATATTTGTGACGAGTTTGTTAGCGTTATAAGACAGTTCTTTCGCAAAAAAGAGTCTCTCCTACCAAGAACCGAAGTTGTGGAACGAGCTATATACAAGAACTTTCTAGTTTTTTTTTTCTTAATCTTCCGTAAAATGTAAAATAACCTTTATTTTCTCTGTAAACTCTAAACTGTAAAAACGTTTTTTTCTTGTAAATTGTAAAAAGCCCTTTTTATTTCCGGTAAAACTGTACCAGTTACCCCCAATCACAACACTGTGTGCAAATACCTGCACGGTGATATGCACCCCGTCTCACTATGCAGCTCGTAGTTTCGGGCCACTAAACGATTGTGCACCGTCCTTGTGGGAGTGTGCCGTGGAACACATTATTCTACCGAGACACCGCCGTATAAAAACAAATCCACTAATTTGCATAAAAGTATATGCCGGGGAGTATATGTAACATTATGTGTTACAATATTTGTGAAGAAAACTCAAGCCAACAATGCCACACAATTCTCGGGGTCTGGCCTCTGAAAACAACAATAACATCCCTTTAAGAGCAATCACAAAGAACCCCACGGACAAATAACTCTCATGGTATAACGGCTGATACGTGCGGGGATACAGAGGACAGCAACAATACGAAGCTGTAAATAACGGAATGGGTGGACGTGGACACGTCTAACGTCCATGACAACATACAAGCGATATATGTGGATCTAAACAACGCCGTTATTCGGGTAGAAAATACAATTAATTTGATTTATTAGTTTGTTTGGTCCGTTTATGTAAATTAATGAAGTTCAAATTAGGGGACCATTTCATGACTTTGTCCGCAAGTGCATGCAAGTCACTCACCCAATTGCCTTCAATATCAATGACAATGACAACAATAAAGATGGGACGCCCTAAAATAATGACCCGTTTATTCTGGAGAAAAAAGTTTATGTTCGACGGACTTTGTCATATTGAAAGGAGAAGTCGGCCCAGCCTCGACCCCTTTTCGTATCCGTGACGACGGAATGCACAACTTTCAAAAGAAGGGATCGAGGTATCAATAATATTCTTGTTTTCAAATCGTATTTACCCGTATTCAGTTCACGCGAAAGACACACAACGTCCAGAGCTGCTTAAAACAACATCGGATTAGTAACTTACCTGATATACCATTAATCACAGTGACTGCATTTAGTTAGCCGCACAAAGTGACTTGTGTATCCGCCCGAGAACGGCAGACACAATCTGAAGTGACGTAAAAACAAACATATCCAGTTGCTCCGCAGTCGCTGTCTCTGTCAACAAACCACGAGTCCCGCATGAAGGTAAGTTGGATTTGACAATGTCGTTTTTCTTTATTAATAAATTGACTGACACTTTGATAGTGTTTCTCATTAATCGTTTGGAAATTCTCACGATCTGTTTACGGTTAAACGGCGTGTACGTGATGTGTCTCTTAGTCCGATTATCCCATTCTACGTGCTCTATATCTCAGTTCTATGTGCTTCCACGTCGACAATTGGTGTTGTTAGTTTGAATTATTTTGGTAGTATCCACATTCTCACCCGGATTAATAACGGAATATCGTGTACAATCAAAGATACGGTTCAATGCATTTTATTCCTAGCCGTTGACGGTCAACAATAGGCAGTGAGTCGACAATTGTGTTTCCAAACTAATTGGAAGAGACTTTCTTACAGAACATTGACTATGTAAGGTTAAAATTATCGGCCCAGTTCTGTTCAAGAAAATATATTTTCGTCGCTGTAAAACGTCACATTTCGAATTATATCCCGAGGTGGGAAACACCCTCTTCTTGTAATATTTAATCTTACAGTCCCCGGGTACAGACGATGTCTTATGTGTATGCTACATGAGAGCTGTGTGCTCTGGTCAGCCGCATATCGACTTATTAAGTTATTTTTTTTATTTTACCTTCAAAACAGGGATTTCCGTCGTTTTTAATGTAAATCTTAAAATGACGTCACAGTTGGGGGCAACGGGAATGAATATATAGGGCCTTTATTTTTTTCGTCTAGAAAATGTGAATGGCTTCTAGGGACTACAATCAAATAGTTCCCACTGAATAGTATACATTCTAAAAAGTTTTATTGAGTTTCATGAAATAAACTATAGCTGTGGTTGGCTTTAGTGTCCCAAGGTCGCGACGTGTGTGTGCGCCATATACTTACATTAGACCCGTTTCCGGTTGTTCGCCACTGCGCAACTGTGACTCGGCCTCAGGCGCCCACCGAGCCACCTATCCCTGTGTATAATAACAAATACCTTCGGGGACAGTATAAGAAACAGGAACGGCAACTATATACACGAGCGACGGAGATTGGAAATAGAATCTACCATTACTTAATTCAATTTAATTTTTAAAAGTCACAGTTTATAAATATTAAAAACAATTCATATTAAATATGTCAACCACATATATTTATTGAAACCATAGTAACACACTTAGCTAATTTTAGATAAAACAGTTTTGCTTAAACCAATCCCTCTTAGAGGCTTAGAGAGATCAAAATATCGTATTATTACTCTAAACAACTTTTCGTATACTTGGATGTGAACGTGTTTGGGATAGTTCATATCTGACTCGATTTTGTCACAACAATACATTTAATTGAAGTTGCATTCCTCTATTACCTTTTAAGTTGACTTACTTATGTTTGTCTGTCTAAATCCCGATTTGTAAAGCTAATTCTCTCGAGAATGGCTTGTAGAACAGTGCGTGTGTATTTCAATTAAAAAATAATCACAGGAATAAAAAAAAGCCGAGTAAACTAGATTTGCATAAAGTCTGTTTCGGGACTTGCTCGTGGTCTAGGGAAACCTTGAAGTAACCTTGTTGAAAACGCTTACTTGTTCTCCAGTAGTTTGCCTGTGAATTACTGGAACATTTAACAGTTTAATCAAGCGAAAATAAACTTTTCCAAATGAAGTTTAGTAAAAAAAACAAAAAAAAACAACAAGAACGTTCAAAATCAGCCACAGATGAGGAACCCTATTTAATCAGTAAACGTGAGAAAAACTGTTTTAAGTTATTGCAATATGAATTTTACATCAGTGTTACAAACTATTACAAAACTGCATGTTCTAAATCTAAATAATGTGTAACGGCTAAGTATATATTATTTTACAGTGTGGACACACGAATGTGGTAGAAGTAACACGTATATAAGGCAATAATCGAATCACTAGATATCATGTCGGATGCAGGTGATACGCCAGGCGGTGACGCAGAACAGGAAGAAACAAAGTCGCATCATTCAACGGCGCCATCAACTCACTCTAAAGTCCCGTCTCAACATTCAAATCAACTTAATGGTTCTATGAACGGGGAACAGAATGGCGAACCTCCCAAGACTCCCGAAGATAAAACCAACATCACGGACTTAATTGATGACATGTTTTTAACATGTGCGATCTGTAATAATCGTTTCAATCAGCCAAAAGTTTTATCGTGTCTGCATTCGTTTTGTACTGGTTGCTTAGAGTCGTACGAGTCGAGTAACGGAGGTGAATTGGAGTGTCCCGTATGCGGCAAAGATGAGAGACGCTCAATCCGAGATCTGCCACACAACACGCTAGCAATGGGACTGATTGATTTGAAAACGATCCTCGGCTCTAATGAAGCCACAAAATGCAATGTCTGCGATAAAGACGCTGCTGTACGATGCTACGATTGCGCCGATTTTCTGTGCGAAGACTGCGAGAAAGTTCACAAGAAAATGAAACTCGGAAAAGGACATCGTATGACGTCTCTTCAAGAGTTCATTGACAGTATTAGTGATATGCAGAATTCGTTATTGAAGAGGTCGTCTCTGATGCATCCCACTGTATGCTCAGACCACGAAGGATTTCTGATGGAGCAATATTGCGAAACGTGTGACATACCAGTATGTGATAAATGCACCACCACAGAGCACAAATACCCGCAACACCATGTGACGCCACTACAGGAGTCGGTTAGCCGGCAATTTAATCACTTAGAACGCCTTCTCCGAGAAACCGAAAAGAAAATTCCACCATTGCAGCAGAGTCTGACTGATGTCCGGGCCGTGTTAATGGATATCGAGACTCAGTGCGATTTTGCAGAGATTAAACTCCGTGATCGTGTTCGTAGAGAAATAGAACAATTGAGAAAATTGGAGAATGATTTAGTGGATGAAATGGAACATAAAATATTGGGAAAGCGAGCCGTTCTAGACGAACAGTTTCAACGTCTTCAACAAGGTTTGAACAACATTCATGACAGTTGTGATTTCACAGAGAATATGCTGAAGTTTGGAAATCCTCTTGATATGATTGGACTGAACAGTGAGCTGGAGAACAGATTACAAGAACTGATGGCTACTCGTATCAAGTTGGAACCAGTGGATAGCAGTGCAATTGAATTCACAAGCAATGAAGATTTCCATACCAGTTTGCACAGCATGAATCATCTTGGTACCATCAGTGTTGCCCGGAAACCAACAACACCAGCTAGATCTCCATCTTCCACAGCTGAGTATTCTCCACGAGTAACTCTAAATGGAGATGACACACCACACTATGCTCCATCTACCATACCTGAGGAAACAGAACTTGAAGTGTATAGAGCTGAATCGCCATTACCACCACCAATCACTTTATCTATTCCTCAAGTTAAACTACCACCCACTCCACCTCCTCCACGCGGAACACCACAGAACGTACCTATGACCAGGGATGCAGTAACTATGACAACAGATACCAGAGATATTGGTTCTATGACAAATGATGATAGCCCTCCAAGATACACCCCTGTTGGTCTCAGATTCAGCAGAGATGGAAGACCATCCCGTGGACCAAGTAGGAAAGGACGTGCAGGGGATGAAGATATCTCAGCTAGAGTTTACACGCCAGCCCATCAGGTTCATCGAGCAAAAGTTGCCACCAATCCTGATGGAAGCTATTCAGTTGGGTACAATCCGACAATGCCTGGTAATCATGACCTACGTATAAATTTCCTAGGTCAGCCTTATGGAGAACCACTAGCATTATCTATGCAACCCGAGCATTACCAACAGTTTGCACGTGGAGCACAAGGTCAAAATCCACCAGGAATTAATATAATCCTTAAGCCTGCAAAGAAAAATCAATACTATGCTGATGAGCTAGAAAATGAATCTGAAGATGATGATGATGAATGGTTAGAAGGCCGCCCATTTTTGAAGATTGGTGGCAAGGGAACTGCACCAGGTAAACTGTGTGGACCACGCGGTATTGCTATTTCCCACAATGATGATATTGTTGTTGCTGATCGAGGTAATAACAGAATGCAAGTATTCTTCCGAGATGGCAAGTTAAGCCATGTTTTCTCTTATCGAAATTTCACTAGAAAGTTTGATCCTGTGGGAGTGGCAATCACAAACAGTGAACAGCTATTAATTTCAGACTATGACAACAAACATGTGTTGCTATGCGACTATGATGGTCGGATTATTCGCACAATTGGTTCAGGCATTTTGAAGGGTCCCTGGGGTGTTGCTGTTGGACGTCATGGTCTTGTTCATGTTGTCGACCATCCGCAGCATTGTGTTCGTACATTTTCTCTGGATGGCACACACGTCCACACATTTGGAGGTAAAGGAGAGGGCCCTGGAGAATTCAACTATCCACTGTATGTTGCTGTCAATAATCGGGACAACATCATTGTTTCTGACTACTGCTATCATCGTGTCCAAGTGTTTGATTACAGGGGAACTTTCTTGTTTGATTTTGGAACCCACGGTGACAGACAAGGGCAATTCTACCGACCAACAGGAGTGGCCTGTACCCAGAAAGATGACATCATTGTCAATGACTACCTTAGCAACAAAGTCCAGTTGTTCAAGCCCAACGGTAGCTTTGTCAGACACCTCAACAATGACAGCAAATGGCTAGAATGTCCAGAAGGTATTGCCATTGCATCCGAGAAGCCACTGAGAGTTGCTGTTGTGGATAGTGGCCATCACTGCATCAAGGTTTTCTAATGTGAAAATTCTAACACGAGAGAAAAAAACATAAAAGTACACGGAACATGAATTGTTGACAGTTCATTGAACCATTATATTTGTTCAGTAATTTAATTGTCAATATGAACAGTCAAATTGTTTATATAGTTACAATTAAATTACTAAAATAACAAGAACATGCAGTTGACATTGAACAATAACAACAATTATATGCTAACAAAACGTAATATTATAATAGAAAGTGACAAGACTGATATGTTGTCATCATGCAAATTGAATCCATATTTTGTACACAAGGTTGAAAATCCAGGTCATCGCATGATTTCGTACTATATGGTACAATGGACTTCTGACTGGTCAAGTTTAACTTTAACATCCAGCAAATTCTTTAGTGATAAAGCATCCAGCATCATCTCTTGATGGACATTACTCCTCTATCAGATACATGATCCAGTTATTCAATGTGCTAATTTTCATATCAGAACTCCCAAAAGGTCTTCACAAGATTTCTAAAAAATCGCCACACAAGATGCATTCATCTTGAGATTGATGCATGCATAAACCAACTGTTGAGTACTCATATCACTGTTATCATTTTCTATCTGATACCATTTACATAATATGATCAGTTAGTGACATATATTAAAAGGAATTCAACAAATGTAATCCAGTCGGTTGATAAGAGGTTCCTTAGTACTGAAATTGACCTTGATAAGAATCAAAATGATTAACCTACGCCAATGGATGGCCACGAAATCTCTAATATGAATACTGCGTTGTATACTGTCGATAGTATTAATTGATATGTGGGGAGGGGGTTTAGATCCTGTCATATTGAGATTGCTCATTGTTACTTGTACACTTGATGCATTGTGCTACTCATACTGGTGGAAGTCTGTAGGAATTTAGTAAGTTATTTGTCAAATGAAATCTCTAATAAACATTTTCAAATATGTACAGATGTAAAAGATGCTGGGTGATCATGGGTTTTTCAGAACTGTATTTTTATCTATAATACATCTTGAACAATTAAGATTTGTAATTATTAATTATGATTTAGGCAGAGCAGTAAGAGTGTAGTGTTCTCTGGGTAATCTGATGATCTATTTCTGTAGTAAATCACCAAAACAGATTAGTCGTTACAAAACAAACCAGGCTTCATTAATATAAATTGATTTTTTTAATTATAATTAAAATAACATTTTTTAATTTTTAAATTTATTACTGTATTCATTACAACATGCATATGTTAGCCAAGATCTTGGAGCATTTCTGATATCGATCAAGCTCTTTTGACATGTGTTCTACTCTACTGACATACATTTCTGCTTCATATTCTGCTGACATGTGTACTGCTCTACTGACATGATTTATGTTCTTCTCTGACATGCCTTTCTCCTCTACTACATATAATCTGCGCTAATGACATTTGTTTTGTACTACTGACATGAGTATTTGTCCATTGACATATGTTCTACATTACTGACAAGTGCTTCTGTTCCACTGACATGTGATGTGTTCTACCCTGACATGCAGTTGTGTCCAACACACATTTCTGCTCCACTTGCATTTTTCTATCCTTCTGACATTCGTTTCTATTGCACTAAATATGATGACAGTCAAATCAGTTTAATAATAATAACAACCTTTATTGATATGTATCCCTTCTGGGATCTAGATTAGAATACAATAAGGATATAATGAACAATAAAATACATAAGTAATAATAATAATAAAAAAGAAATAAATAGTAATACTGTGAAAATATTATTATATAAATATTTGTTGGTGTTATTTTGAGGCAGCTGGTAAATTGCTTTTCATGAAATTCTCTCTTTTATTGAAACAGTCGCTGATAAACTTGGCAATTGCTTGGACGGTTTCAGAATTTTTGTTATTGAGAAGTGCTTTCAGATTACCGGATAAGTTTACGTTTTCAAACAAAGCATCTCTCTCTCAAATTTGTACAGGTTACAATTGAAGAGGAAATGTTCTTCATCTTCAATTTCATTGGAGTCACAGACAGGGCATGTTCTATTTAAGAATCTATGTTGTGATATCGCCCAACTTCAATCTGAAGTATGTGGGCACTTATCCTCAGTTTAGTCATAGATGATCTGTGGATGGGGTTTTTAATAATTTCAAGGTATTTTTCAAGTGCAAAATCAGTTTTCAGCTGTCTGTAGGTACAAAGTTTATTTTTGTGATTAGTGCCTTTATTGTCATTATGCATTGTTTCTGTGCAGTGTTTCTCAAACATATTTTTTAGTTTTTTTGTAGCTAATGGGATAATACTGGTTTTTTCGCAAACATCACTAATTTCTAAAAGGTTCAGTAATTTTT